GAAGATGAAGGGTGGTGATATTGAATGGACGACAGGCTGCCTTAGCTTTTCCCTGTCTATACGCTATGACCTTGGCTTTGTGCACCCATTACACAATTCAGTGGCAGCCCAATCGAATCTGCTTCTGTCGATCAATATCCTATTAAAGCGCCACACAAAAAAGAGAGGGAGAGAGAGAGAAGGAGGGGTGGGAAGAGATGGGGGGGAGAGGGGGAGAGAGAAATGAAAGTCTCCATAAAGTTAGCGGTTATAGCTACGTTTTTGTAAATGGAACTCCACATAATTGGCCGGTCAATACCAGGCCAGGGTAATTTGGGAGATTGGGCCCCCGCCCTTTCTGTACACTACCTCCTCCCCTCTCTTTCCCTTCCTTTCTCTCTCTTTCTCTCCCTCTATCTCTTTCTTTCCTTGCGTCTGCTAGTTCTTTAGTTTCTCGGCACGTGACTTAGAGAGAACAAGTAACAATTGCATTTTTCCTCGTCTGGCTTTATCTCTTGTATATCGCTATGTATTTCCTACAGCACTGTTTCGCCAATTTACTTTCTCCGAAGCTTTTATATCAAGTGACAGAGACACGACTTGGCACACAGACAAGCTCAGGTAGACAACAGGATGTGTGTGTGTGTGTAGCTCAGCTGCAGAGCACAGCTTTGCAAGCCAAAGAGACAGGATTTAGGATTAGACTGAGGTTATTGTTATTATTCTGCCAGTGAGGGCCCTGCTGAAACATTGGCAGGCGCTGGGCAGCCCAGTCCAGGGGCAGGGACACCTGGGATATCCCCGGGTACAGGCTGGGCACTGGCACGCCCCGCACAGCCATATGACGAAACAGGGGGGCAGATGAATAATGGAGGAGATAGGGGCAGCCATCATTGCTCTGTCCCGCCTCAGTCTTGTCTGAACCCCAGCCCTGCGGCTGCCTGCCCTGGTACTGCCAATGGGGATGCCGGTGGGTAGTGCCATCTGTATGGACGCTCAAGTCTCTAAAGCAGTGGTGACCAATCTGGCTGTTGGAGTTTTAAGTTTAGCCGTTGATAACAAAAGCATGGTGTGATTAAATGTGAATTATTTCACACTCGTAGCTCATGAAAAGTGGGGAAATTCTTGATTTTTAGTAAGTATTTGATGCATTTGTGTTCATTAGTAAAACAAGAGATTTTATTATAATTTGAATTTTATGAAGCATTTTTGAAAATTTAGTGGCATTCCTAATTACATTGTACATTAACATTTTTACACTTAACTTTGGAGCATTTGTTTTGGTCTGTGTATCATGACATGTTCGCACAATATAAATAGTGTTTTTAAAATGGTGTAAAAAAAAACAAAAAAAATAAAAAAGTTAGGAAATTACAGTGATGGTATTCAAGGAACTGTGGATATGCTGAGTAAGCAAGTGATTTGCGCAGTGATCGTCATATTTTTTCTCAAACATTTCAGAGTAGAAGTGCTGATCTGTGATTACTTTAGCGGTGTAAAATAGCATCACTGCATTTTTACACCCCTGTCTGATCTGTTTAGCTTGGTCAGTGTGTGGCTCTCCACGTCTGACTCCTCACTCCTCCACCTTGACCTGCTGCCGTCGGCCTGTGGCCTGTAGACCCGCTGCCTCTCACTTTTGATTTGATGGCCCACTTTGTTGTGGAGGCTGTGGGGGTGATGGGGGCCGGCGCGGTGCTTTTCTTACCCTGGAGCAAGACGTCATGAGTGCCGGAGCACTGCCCGAGGTTCCTCAGACCAGCTGATCCAGCAGAAAAACACCAAAGCCCTGTCAGAGCCGGCTGCATTCACTCCAGCTCAGGAGGAGCTCCAGCATGCCCTGGCTCGCTGGTTCACCAGCACTAAAGCGGGGAGAAAGAGGAGGAGGGCAAAGAGGCTCAGGGTGGACGCATGTCCGGGGTTTTGACGTTGATTGCTGCTTCTGTTGTCAAATGCTTCAATCTGAAAATCCGGCTGAACAAAAGGCAATTTTTTTTTCTTCCTCCTCCTTTTCCCTCCTCCTGCTCTTTTTTTAAATGAAAAGGCCCTTCAGCTTTTGTGGAAACTTTAGCCAACACTGGTTGGGTGCAGGGTGGTGTGTGTGTGTGTGTGTGTGTGTGTGACTTCAAAGAGGTGCTGGCTTGACTAAACTGAACACCACACTCGATAGACACTCTTTTCTCTACTCTCTGCTTTTCCTCTGTAACAGTTTGTTCTAGAGACGAAATATTAGTATTGATAGGTATCTACATTGAGCAATAAAAGTAGAAAATGTTGGATCAGATATCAGAGGGAAAAAAAGATTGAATCTGATCCAATCCTGTAACAATTCAAGTCTGCACACTGTAAAACGTTTTAGTGTAAAATTACAGAAATTTACCAGCAGCAGTTTCTCCAGTAACGTGCTGTTTATTTATAGTACTCATACTGTATAATAACGTTACAGCTGTATTTCTGGATATTGTTAATCATTGTGTTCATTCATTTTTTTCTTGCACCCTTGTACTTCTAACATACAGTTCATATTTGCTGTAACATGCACACACAGCTGTGAGGGCCCTAGGTTTTGCTACATTATGTCATATAGCTTGAAAAGTTCTGGTTGTAAATGCTTTAACCTTCATGCATTCTCTTGCAGAGTTAAGAGAACGATTATGCTGTTTTCAGTATACAGTAGATTACTGCGGTGCCTCTACTGGAAATGTTCCTCCGTTCTTTACAGTGTGAAACAGTACACAATTTTGTGTGATGTGTTGTTGTTAGTTGTTTCTTCATGTGAGGTATTAGACTGCTCAAGTGGTCTGAACATGATAGTCTACTTTTAAATGATCATCTTAAGTGCTTCCATTAAAAACAGCTCATTTTAAAGCTTAGACGTTTTTTTAAAGAAGAAATTTTCGGATTGATATTGTCCAATCCAAGTGGTTCTGTCTCATCTCTAGTGTCTGTGACTCTCTGTGTGTTCCTTTTACCTCTTTTAGACAGAGAATTACATACACACACACGTAGATGTACACGCACTTTTTCAGACAGAAATTCTATTGCTGAAGTAAACTGAGCCCTTGCAACGGAAAACAGTTTATGTGACATTTTTTGTAAAAGTTATATCAACAAGGTATGGCATTGTTTGATGACCTGTATTTATGCATAGTTTGGCTTTTTAATATTAAAGGTTGTACAAAAGAAGAAAACAAAATAACTGATAATCCAAAAAAAGGTTGGAATGGTTGATATATGTTTTTGGAGGGCCTCAGTTGTTAAACCACATTATTAACTGTGATTTGGCTGTTCAATTAGAATGTAAAGGAGATCATTTCAGAAACTTCCCAAAACTTTCCTGTGAGTCCATCCTGATGAATCCAGTGAAATTATGCGATCTCAAGCTCTTCAAAACTGCTTTAAAACTCTGCTTTACAAAAAAAAAGAAAGGAAACATACCAACATTTTCATATTCTGTGTATTTTGTTCGTATTATGGTTCAATGGTGAAAACCATTTCAGTAATGACATCCAATATTTTTTCGACGTGTGAGCACACTTTTTAAAGTTTTAAAGTAACGTAGTAGCATTTAAACAATTGTATTCATACCTTTAGGATGTAAGGATGCTAGTAACAGTTCTTTTTTAACACTTTATGAACTAAAGTATTAGTGGACAGTCTCTGTCTCTTTCTCTCTCTCTCGTGCGCATTGTCTTTCTGTCTGTCTCTGCCTCATTTGCCTCATTCAATCTTTTACATTTTTTTCTCTCTCTACAGCTCTGCCTTCATTCCTTTGAACTAACCCCACTCTCTAAGTAGATAGAATAAACTGAAACATTCTGCTAATGTACTTTCTGCACAAGCAACTGTAAAGGTAGTGCAGTGTAGATCATAGATGGTGAGAGAGAGAGAGAGAGAGAGAGAGAGAGAGAGGGAGGGAGGGAGAGAGAGAGATCAATGCTGGCCTGATAGCCACAGTCTTCATTTGGAATCCTCCAAGCAAAAGCACTTGCTAAAGCCCTTAAGAGGTAGAGACTGCGGATTACCTTTATGATTGATTTCCATTCCAGTCAGACAGACTGCAGCGTGTTCATTTTTCTCCCCAAACTGCAGCACCGTGGTCCGGCCGATCTCCGCGTGCGTGCGTATGTGTGTACGTGTGTGTGTGTGTGTGCGAAGGCCGGCTGAGTTACTGCAGCCCGGTGCCCAGGTTAGCTCTCACACAAATTACTTCACGTCCCACTATTAGCCATGCAAATGCAGTTGGCTTTACTGCGCCTCGTAAATAACCGGCCCTGCCACTTCTATTAGAGGGGAGGGCCGTGTTCTGACGGAAGAAAAAATAAAATAAAGAGATGACTCAGAAATTATAGAGCTTTTGCTCTCTCCCCCCTCTTCTTCCCCCCTTTTCCTTCCTCTCTACATGGCCAACTTTTACACCTTCGTTTTGGCCAGAGAGCCAAAGCTGTCCCTCTCTCCCTCGTTCTCTTGCTCTCTCTCTCAGGGTCCAAGTTGCCCCTGTAGCCGTGTCCTCTTCCAATGTTAATTAGCAAGCCCATTACCGTGTCTATCAGGCTCTTCCATGCTGTCGTCTGCTCTCGTCCCGGGCTGGAGTGTATTATGTATGCAGGACCAGGCCCCGCTCCCTTACACGTTTGCGCTGTCCTCATCAAAAATAGTGGTCTCAGTCACCATGAATATAAAGAGGCATCACAGCTTTATGGAGTGGATGACAAAGGCGTTCGATAGAGCAGAGTGCTCGCCGGTGACCTACAGAGGAGATGGGGGCTCTGCGGCTAGCCGCTAGTTGGGGGGGCTTTTTACCTGATGCAATTTGGCCAAAAACAAGGTGAAGTCTTGCAAGAAGCAAAGTGGTTACTTCTGGCCTAGTAATGAATGGAGACGAGCAGGGCTAAATGGAAATCTAATGCATGGTTAGGTTTGGAAGCTTTTTTTATCCCTCATGTGCTTACATTTGTCCTTTTCTTCCTCTCTGTGTTTGTGTGTGTGTGCGTGTGCGTGTGCGTACGTGTGTGTTGCAGCCCCCATCGCGGCAGGGACGGGGCCCAACTTCTCATTGGCGGACTTAGACAGCTCCTCTTACTACAGTATGAGCCCAGGGGCCATGAGGAGACCCCTACCCAGCACCTCTTCTAGCAGGTAACTTTCTCTCTCTCTCTTTGTATCTTTTGCTCTCTCTCTCTCTTTCCCTCTCTTTCTTTCTCACTTTCTGTCACCCTCTTTCTACTTCCCTTTTCCTTTTTTTCCCGTCCCTTTGTCTCCCTCTGTCTTTGCCTCCTCTCTTATTCTCTTTCTTCATCTTTGTTGCCCCATTCTTTGTCTTTCTCCCACACTCTTTCATTCTCCTTCTCTCTCCTTCTCTCTCCCCGTATCTCTTTTTCTGTCTTTTCTTCCACTTCTCTTTCCCGCTTCTTTCTTTCTCTCTCACTCCACCTCTCCTTTACCCATAGTATATTTCCTTGTTTTCTGTTTCTGTCTCTTTCCTTTCCTTTCCCCTCTCTCTCTCTCTCTCTCTCTCTCTCTCTCTCTCCTTCTCTTCCTCCCATCCTGTCTCTCTCTCTGTTTCTCTCTCACTCTTTCTTTCTCTGGGTCTTAATTAATCAGTACAGGCAGAGATTGATGTGTTGGCTGAGGCTTGGAGGGAGTCTGCAGGAGCTGGAGCTCTGTGAGCCGACAGCATATGTGTGTCCACCTGGAGCCTCCTTCTAACACTGTCCGACTGGCCTACAGGGCCGCCACACAAACACACACACACACACACACGTACACACACACTCATACTCCCCAGTGAAAAGCTCTACTGAGTTCCCCCTTCTTCCCTTTGGCATGACTCAGGCCCACAGACAGGTGTGTGGTGTGTGTGTATGTATGTGTAGGCGCTGGATTGAGGCCCCCTCTGAGTGCACTGATTAGCAGCCTCCTGTGTCACTTTAAATGCATGAACGACAGTACACCAATATGCACAAAAATGCATATACACACATTTACACATATATGTGTACTTACAGTACTGTGCAAAAATCCTTTATTTAATTTCTAGCCAATCAAGTGCAAGAAAGCAGATAACATGTACAATACAGAAAATTACACGGAAGTCTCAGTAGTAATAAATATATTATTAAGTGTGTCAGTATTTAATGTGTCCACCCTTTATTTCAGCGTCCGTAAAATTTTCAGTTGTCTTGCTTTCAGATTTTCAAATAAATCTTCAGGGATATTCCACTCTTCCAAAGTTCAGTCTTAGAAGTTGGTTGCATTTCTGAGAAGTTCTGAGAAGACCAGCAGCTTTTTTGTTTGATTTGCAAGTTGTCTTCTTTTTTGTTTCATTTTCTCAGTAAGGGCTTCTTGAAAGCTACACATCCATTCAGACCCACAGTGTTGTGTTCTCACAGAAACACTTGTGGGTTTTTTCAGATCTGAAGCAAAAGTGGAGCTTGATTTTCTCCTCGCTCTTGAAGCTTTAAGTACTGTTTGTCTGATGGGGACAGTCCTTACAACCTGGTAGACAACCAAAAGGAGTCACATTTTCTCGATAGCTTTAAATCATTTAAATTCAATTTTGGAAACTCCTTTTTTCTCTCTCTCTTTCTGTTTGTTTCTTTCTTTTATTTTCCTTTGAGTTTCCCCTTCTTCATGCAAGTGGATTATCTTGCATCTAATCTCTTCAGAAATATGAAGTATATATAAAATATAGCAACTTTCAGTTAAATAATTGAAGGCTTTTCTCTGACTTTTGCACAGTACTGTATATGCACTGAATAAGTAATGCATTGAATTTACTTCATTCAACATACATACATGTTATAACATGAATAAAATATATCACGTCAACACTCAACCTTCTGTTTACTTTCCTTTGGCAGTAATTATGTTGATGTAATTTATTTCATTTTTGTGGGAATGAAGTACACATTTAAAACAACCAACTTCAATGCATCACTGTTTTTCAGTGTACACATATGTACATGCGCAAATGCACATATAAATGTATAAACATATACTCAGTTGAGCATGCTTTTCACTTCCAAATGATTTTCATTAAAATATTTTGCCAAATGAAGAGGCCTGCTACTCACATAATAATACAGATGTTAGTTTCTTGTAGTACAAGAAGTGCACAGTAATTAGGTAATTAAGGTGTAGTGTTTACACTTGGTGTGAATGGTTTCTGATGATGTGTATGGGGGATGTGTCTGTATGTAATTTGTCTGCACACATTTGTATGGATAAGTATATTTTATGTGCAGTGTGTGTGTGTGTGTATGTGTGTGTGCATGTGTACTCTGCCCACATGCTTCAGTGGCCTCTTCAGCCAGGCCTGCCAAAGAAAACATCTGGAACAAGGAGCCTATGTGTGGCTGCATGCTAGAGAGTAATTAAGTGATTATGAGTGAAAAACACCAGTAGACCTTACATTAACAAATAAATGTCAGAGCCGTGCCTTCAGCAGATAAGTCACTCGCACAAGCATTTACATTACATATAACATCACACCACCTTGGGCCCCTGAGGAGTATTCACCTCCCATGTACATGCAAGAGGCGTGTGGGGTGTGTGTTCATCTTATATGCTCTCGTACACTGGAAATTTTTAGGCTCAGCACCAGGGATACACTGCTCTTTTTGTGTTTTTGCTGCTCTTAGACACCTAATTGAACTCATTACTTGTAAAAGGTCTTCTTGAATTTAGTCAGGTGTCTTAAACTGTGCAGTGTACAAGAACTCCAGAACTGAAATTGATAAGCATTGTCTTAAGTACTACTCAAGCTGGAGTGGGTTACCAGGGAAGTGTTGTAATGTAGTTTGTAGGATTTGACTGGCTGATTCATACAGGATAAAGTCTCTTAATAATTTCCCACAAATTCCCACAAATTGAAAGGTCATAGTGTGAATATTTACATCAGCGTTACGCCACAGGACTTACACCATAACAGTAATAACGCTGCACAGCCACATCTATTTTGTCATTCCATTAGCATCAGGTGGATTGGAACAGGAGTACTATTACAGAGGCTGCTTTGGGTTCAGCCAGTTACAAAAGGCCATTCACCTCTCAGTTATTATTATCATATTGTAAAAACTGCACTCTGCAGATTCATGAAATCACTCCGCAATTAAAACTGATGGACTGTAAAAGCTACACATGCTGCATATTCGAACTGGAATAAAATCACGGCAGAATTATTACCATCATACTGTAAAAACATCAGATATTACAGATTTGAACTGGATAAAAATTGCGACTCTCATCAGTAATCACATAATTGCATATGCTCATATTTAGGCTAATATAGGTGAATATAAACGGTCTCTCTTCCTAACACCAGCAGATCCCCCAGTTATGCTTCCTGAAGGTACCCCCCATGACACTTCTCAGCCCCCCCTCCATGCTGGGGTGGCCCCTGGTCTTGATTTAGCTTCAGGGTTAGAGCACTTAAAGAGGATTAGCACTGAGCCTGGATCTGGGTGTGCTGTGGGGGACAGATGTTAGCCAGCCCCTTACACGCTACACACTATACAGGCAGTCACACACATACACATGCTAAACAGACATACATTTTCAGACAAAAATATCCAGAAACCAGAGAGAAACAATGCTGTACATGCATATATAATATATATGGAACATATATATGAAGCCAAGTCCTGACACTGTACAAAAACAAACCTGTGTGTGTGTGTGTGTACTCATAAGTGATTTCTGTCAAATGACACAACTGTAAATCTCATCCATCTATCCTTCCATTTCTATCCCTCTGTCTCTCTGCAGTTCTGCAAAGCGTATTAAGTGTATGGAGGAGGAAGTGGACAGTCCAGGGGAGGAGTCCTACTATCCCAGCCAGGGACGATCACCGGGCAGCGGCAGCCAAGCCAGTAGCTGGCACGAAGTAGAGCCAGGTAAACACACCTACACACACCACACACATAACAAAGAACTAGCCAAGCTCAGAATTCTGCTGTTTCCTCCACACACACACACACACGCACACACACGCACATACTCACCGGTTACAGACACTACAAAAAGAGCTTTACACACATGCATGCTCAAACATACACACACTCACAAACAAGTCTGTGCAAAAGTCAGAGACCACCACTTGTTTAATTTGTTTTCAGTTTTTCATAGAAATATTTAGGGATGTTTTTCCACACCTCCAAATTTCAGTATTAAAAGTTGATTTTATTTCTACTTCACTTAATCCAAGTAATCCCAGACACATGATTCAGTGATGTTGATCTCTGAATGCTGAGGTAGTCAGTCCATTGTTCTGAGAACACCAGCAAGTTCTTTGATCAATTAGCAAATTTTCTTCTTTTTCCTGTTTCCTTTTCTCAGTAATGGCTTCTTGACAGCTACACATTGTTTCAATATATATGAAATAATGTATGAAATAAATGAAGCCTGTGGTGTCTGACTTTTGCACAATACTGTGCCTACTACACACAACCAGTCAAACTCCTAATGGTACTCCCTCCTCCTCCTCACAATGAATAAGAGGCTGAGGAGTGAGAGCAGATGAGTAAAAGCTGTATGTTTTTATGTTGATGTGTCTATTTGTGGTGCGCTGTGTGTTGGTTGTAGGGTGGCAGCCTGTTGTGCTGGGGTTATTTATTCTTCCTCTTGGGTTTTTTCTCTGTGTTTTTCTCTTGTCAGTCATTTTGAGGATGGGTGAAATGTTTGGAATGAAGCTAAATGTCTCCTTCTGTACAGACAGTCTTTATTCTCCCTCTCTCTCTGGAGATTCTTGTCTGACCACTATATCATCTCAGGGAATCCAGCCGTATTGACCTTTTCCTGCTCCAGCCACTAATGCATTTGTAGCAACTGTTGCTAGGTTGGACAAGCTTTGCAGAGCATTGACAAAAATCAACCTAATGAGAAACTGTAGCGTGCAGCTTGTGAAGGTAGTTACATTTAGAGTGCTTTATTAACCCAGTCAAAATGAATGTCTCACAGGTGATCCATGGTGAGAATTTGGCATCTAAAACTAGTTTAAATGTGCCAACAGAGGAGTTGCAGCATGTGGACATCAACACTGGCCACAGTTAAATGTATCAGTGTATAGAATTGAAGGATCAGTAAATGCTTATCTTTGACTGGGTTTATCAGAGAAACTATAAAGTGTGACTGATTGTGTGACATACATTCCTATTATTCCTATTTTGCTTATTTAAAAATTTACTGACACAAGCTAATTAAAATTCATCTTTGTCAGAGCGCATTCTTTACCTTTTAAATCACCGTATAAAAGTAAAATTAAAGAGAAGATTTAATTGAAGCAGATTAAATGGCAGAAATACCCACATTTTTGGCTGTTAAAGAGTTCATTTCAAATTATATTTATTTTGTATGCATATGAAAGTTCTCGCTGTTATAGTAGACCAATTGTTGTTTTTTATCATGTAACCATGATAACATTAGCATGGCAGCAAATTTGTTGTTAATTTCACCTGGCCTAGTTTCAATTAGCTACATGAACACAGTCCAGCTTTAACACAGAAATCTTTATAGGCTCTAAACTAAGATTATGACAGCTTTCACTTGGTTGGATGAAATTTTGTGAACATTCTGTAAAGCTGAACGTTGCCCAGGTTCTGTCTTCTGGCAGCAGTTAGTAAGAAATAATGCATTTATGGGCGGAACTTTGGACAAGTCAGTTACCGAAGCTCTAGTGTTCTTTACATTTAATTTCATGCCCATAAGATGCCTAACACTTATCACCAGTACTAACGTGTGAATGTGTGTGTTGTCTGATAGTGGTTCCTGATCAGTTCTGTGTGTGTCTGTGTGTGTGTGTGTGTGTGTGTCTGTGAACTGAGCCTGCTGCAGTGCTGCTAGGTGAAGGACCATAAATCTGACCTGACTACCCTCTCAAGTGTCTCTCTTGCTCTCTCTTTCTCTCTCCCCTCACTCTTTCCTCTCCATTTTCTTTCTCTCTTTCTCTTATTCTCTCCACCTTCTCTCCATTTCTCCTTCTTTTTATATTTCTGTCTTTCTCTCACTTCTGCTCTTCCTTTTCTTTTTTTCACTGTCTCCCCCACCTCTTTCTCTCTCATTCACTTTCTCTCTATTTAGTTTGGTGCAGCAACCCTTGGCATAAAAGTTACATTATTGCCAAAGCAATCAACATAAGCCACAAACAGGAGAAAGACTAAAACAAAAATAAAACAGAATAAAAAGAAAGAGAGCAACAGAAAAGTTATTTATAGCATTATTTGTCATGAACAGGGCACTTCTAGTCTTTCCTCTGCAGAGCTCTGGAGGACAACATAGTTATCCTAGAATCTGCTAACAGACAGGGCCAAGCTCAATAAAGCTTAAAGCTCAGCCTTCAGCCTCGACACTGACCTTAAATTCTGCAGTCACTCAACCTGCATAGCTGACCTCCACACTGCTCTCTGATCTCTCTCTCTCTCTCGCTCATTCTCTCTCTCTGATTTCTCTCTCTCTCTCTCTCCGACACACTCAGTCACTCTTTCTCTTCTGACTCTGTCTCTCTCTCTCTCTCTCTCTGTCTCTCTCCTCTCACTATCTTTCTGCATTTCTTTCTCAATAAGTCTGTCTCTTAATTTCTTTATTTCTTTTTCTTCCTTTTTATCTACTATTTTCTTTCTCTCTTTCCTACTCTTTTCTTGTATCTCTCCTGCTTTCTGGCTCTCACCTTCTCTCTTAGTCACTTACTTTTTCTCTCTTTCCCTCTTTTCCCTCTTTTTTGTTTTTTTCTCTCTCAGTTTGTCAGTCTTTCTCTCTCAGTCTGTCAGGTAGTTTTTCTTTCTTTCTTTCTTTCTTTCTTTCTTTCTTTCTCTCTCTCCTGCTGCGTCTCTTTTGATTGAGATATGAAATGAAGAAAGAGAGAGAGCGGGGACAAAAGAAAGAAAGAACACTACGAATGATACATTTTGGGGAAAGAGAGGGAGGAGGGGTGTAAAAAATTTGCTGGCTCGTCTGATTCTGTCTACTCTCTCTGATCGTGCCCAACTTGAAGCAAATACAAATATGGCTGAAAGTAGAAATAGTGTGAAATGTTATCCCAGACTGGCCTGTCTGCTGCCATTCTTATATAAACAAACTTACATACATAATTTGGACAATTTTGTGGAAACTCAGTATTTCCTCTTTCAAACTGTTTCAGGTTGACTCAGTTGGTGTCAAAAAATGTTTTTCTTTCTTTCTGTCATTCATTCTTTCTTTCTTTCTTGTCAGTGTGTTTATATGATTAGATTCATTGCCATGTGTAAAGAGAGGACACTGGTGTCAGTTACAGCCTATAAAAGAGAAAAAGAAGGTGGAAGAGTTCAGAGAAGAACGGAGAAACACATAGATCAAAGGAGCGAATGAGCACAAGTCATTTTTTTGGATGGACTACACTGAAAAAAGTAATGCATTGAATTTACTTAATTCAAATGTACTTCATTTCCACATGAATAAACAGCACAGTACTGTCTTTCAGTTTACTTTTAGCAATAACTGTGTTGATATATTGTATATTTTGTTAATGTGGAAAATATGTAAGCATTTGAATCAAGCACATGCATTACTTTTCAGTGTCAGGGAGTAGAGGGTCTAAAGTGCATTTATCTATGTGTGTATGTGTGTGCACTGTAAAAAGGCCAGGTGAACTTGAAATTTTAAGTCAACCTTCTGTGTAGTTTTTTGAAAAAAATCTCAACTTAGTTTACTCAAAAGTTCCTCAAACTCTCCTAACATTTTTAGTACTGCATCTAAGTGGTTTACAAAATGCAGTGTAAGTTCAGCTTACTTAAAATTTATTTTTTAAGCTCAGCTTAAACTGTTTTGTTGACCTAAATGTGACTAGACTACAAATATGAAAAAGATAAAGATTAAAAAAGCTATGGAGAAGGTTGACTTAAGCATTTTTTTTTTAAGTGATGTGTACAGTTATGGGTGTTTTTTCCATACAAACCCAGTTCCAAAAAAGGTGGGACAGTGTGTGAGATGCTAAAACTGAAAGCAGTTGTTAGTAAATTAGTTAGTAAATTTGTTAATAAACTTGTATTCAATTAGAAACAGTACAAAAACACAATATTGGATGTTTTACCTTATGAACTTTTGTTGTTTTGTAAATATATGCTCGTTCCAATTTTGATACATACAGCACATTCAAAAAAAGCATTTTCTGAATGAGCATATGTTTACAAAAAAACAGTGAAACTGATTATGGTTATACATTACAAATGTTGTCTTTGGGTCCCACTTTATTTGGATAGTCCGGTACAGTCCCGTATAGATTATCTAGAGATGTTCAAATTATTAACAAACTATCTGTTGAAACTCAGTTGAGTCTAAACAGTGGCGGGGTTAGAGTTAGGATTTGGACCAGGGTTAGGGCTAGGACCAGGGTGAGGGTTGGGTTTAGGTTTTGGGCTGAGGTTAAGGTTAGGGTTAGGATTAGAGCCAGATTTAGGGTTAAAGAAAATTATGGTCAATTTAGTAGATATTTAGTTTAATGTAACTTGAAAGTAAAGTGTCTACAAACATCTAAAGTGGACTACCCAAATAAAGTGTTACCTGTCTTTGTACTGTTTTTTGTTCAAACACAGGTTAAAGTAGTTTTCATTTGCATTTCACATACTGTCCCAACTTTTTTGGAATAGGGTTTTTAAGTAAAGTGTGTGTGTGTGTGTGTGTGCGTGTATATGCGCATGCGTATGTGTTTTTCTCTGTTTGTGTGTGTGTGTGTGTGTGTGTGTGTGTGTGTAACCTGAGCATTGGCTGTCCAGGCTGTGGTCAGTCTGGGGGAGAACATGTCTAACATAAAAAGCTGATTTGCTGAACTAACACACGCTCTGCTCCTTTATTCACCCTGCCTTTGTTTTGTTCTTTTTTCTCCTCTTTGTTTTCTTTCCCTCGTCTTTCAAAGCTGGATATAAACTGCGCGGCTCACTAGCTAGTTCGTTCATCTCAAGACAAGGTAATACTACGTCACTGTTTTCACCCCAATCCCATCCCTCACCCACCCCCATCCCAAAGGTACTAGCCTCGCTGTGGTGTCCAGTTTGATGTTGGTGTTTGGTTGTTCTGTTTATTTATTTATTGTCCCGGTGATTCTTCCACACCTCCCTCCCACGCCTCCACCAGAAAAACTGTGACAGTGGAAAAGAGTCCATTCCTCCAGCCTGATATCAACCCTTGCGATTTGTATTTGTGCATGATTCCATTTTCATCCTGTTAGTGCATTTGGATCTATACGTTTTTTAACGACATGTTTGTATGTGTTGTGAAGAAAAAAAGAGTTTATGTGTGTCAAACTGTGGGATTTGGCAGCACCCCGTTTAACCCTTAGAAGTCTAAGGATATTGTTTGCACTTTCCTGTACTGTTCAAATGTAATCATTGAATTGCATATTTAACTCCTTAAAATAATGAGGAGTTTTACATCCTAAGCCATTAAGGAGTTTTGCATCCTTAACGTCTTACATCCTAAGACTTATAATTCAGTATCTGCGTAGACTATGGTGCAAACTGGCTGAGATATTCCTTGGTTGTCAAAGCGTGTAATAAATGTTTGAACCTGCCAATGTGTCTTGTCAAAACTGCAAATACTTTCATTTAATACCACTTTTGTGAATATAAGTGAAAGGAGAGAAGATACTTTATTACGATAGGAGATATTTTTATGATGATGGGTCGCTGTCATTTCTTGACTTTGAAATAAGTGAAAAAAAATGCCAGACATGCAGACCCAAATATGTGTATAAAGAATATAAATTGAAAGTAAATGTAATTCATTGCACTCACTATGTAACTAACTCTATTAATGGCCAAATGTTCTCCACTCACTGCAAAGTTTCTATCAAACAAAAACATTGAACTATGAAAAATAAGACATCCTTTTTCATTACTGTGACTTCAAAGGGTTAACACATGCATGGACAGAGAGGGAATGGAGAGCTGGGGAGAAAATTGTTTGTAAGTTTTCTTATTCACTGTCAAGCAGTCATATGATTTGAATGATCTGAGCCATGGAGGTGTGAAGTGAAGGTTGTGTGCAAGAGAGCTGTGAGAGTCTGATCTGAAAACTGAGAGAATGACACCTGTTTACTTGAGTAGTTTTTCAGTACTCATCCATCCAATTGCCAACATATTCAGTGTCAGTATGTCAGGACACTGATTGGGACACTATTAGTCTGGACATTGTCTTTCTGATGTGTGTTTGGTCTTCATCTGTATTTGGTGGCTGTTGGAGGCTGTTGCAGTGTGTTAAAATTAGCCTGGCCTTATAAAAACCTGATCCCAGCAGAGGCATGCCTGTCATTGCTGGAGTGGCTGGTGTCAGGTGATGTCCCAACCACTGGCCTCTGAAGTGACGATGGCCGTGTTTCACATAGCTCAGAGTCAGCAAATGGGACATATTGCACCTCTGTCTCTTTCCTCTCTCTTTCTCTCTCTCTTTCACACTAATGTGAGACTCTCACAGTTATACCTGTTACTTTGTTACCCTTAACTGTGAACCATGAAGTTGAAGTCCAGATTTGCTTTGCTTTTCAACTGCTTTAGGCTCATGAACAAAAAATCATGAAGAAGGAATAATCATGGAAAATGGATATACTAATTAATAATGGACAGGCAACTAACCTCAGTAGAAATTCATAACCCATCTTAGTCAACCCTTTAACTTTCAAGGATCCACACTAAATGTCTTCACTCTCATAACTGCAAACTACACATTAGTTTCTTAGTAGTAAATGATTTATGTTTGCAACTGATTATTTTTTTTGTCTTAAACAGGGCATATTCTGAAATTTTCTTTTTTATTAATTTTTGCAATAGACTTTTTGGCTCTGATTTGATGACGCTGTCACAATTGCCCTGTATTGTACCTCATTCAAAAAGCAAAACTCATTCACTTCACACAAATGGGGCAGCTAAACTGCTGTAGGTTGAATGGGTGGTCATATATAAATACATTTATGGTTGTGACATCACAGAATAACTTGAAAATCTGCTATTCTGTGATTCTGTGGGCTCTTCAAGATTAATAACTGCATAATAAGCCTGCAGTTTAAGGCCCTAACAGTGTTAATAATTAATTGTGAGTAATTGAGAGTGAGTAATTGTGTCAGTATAGGCCGTGTTGCTGTGGCGTGTCCCTAGCTGAGTGTGTGTGTAGTGCTGAGTGTATGCATAGTGTGGAGGCTGCCACAGTCTGCCTGGTTCTGATTGATTTGCTGGACAGGCTCATGTTCAGGAGGACGGTACCGCTGGACAGCAGCAGAGAGAGACACGCTCGATCCACAATCCACAATCACTCGCACAGGCACTGTCAATTTGTCAGCCAGGAGAGTGGGAGAGAAACAGAGAGAGGGAGAAGCAGAGAGGGAAGAGAAGGAGAGGAACAGGCCGGGCCCAGCGCCGGGTGCGTAATAACGACTCGGAAGAGAAAGTGCTGAGTGAGGCCAAGCTTTGATTCCAACTGACAGAACCTCTTCAAGTGTTCATTACTCACTTGCAGACTTCAGGCCTCCTTCAAAGCACATACACACACACTCACACATACACACCCAAGTTCAAATACTCATAGAACTGCCCGAGAGCTCAGCGTGTGTTCTTTTTTTCTTCCTCTGGTTGGTCTTATCCCTGTCTCTATTTGCATGTGCTCATATCCTGTGTCTTGCCTTTATATGAGTTATATGCAATTTTATTCAAGTGAGCTTTATTGGCATGAACATTTTTAGTTACAGTATTACTAAAATACAGGTTTCATGTGGTTTTATACATGGTGGAGAGATAGAACATTAACCCTATCAAATCAAATATTGTGCTGATGCGTCAGAGGTGTTCAGACTTTTCTCAAAGTGGTCCAGAATGGACCCTATTAGAATACCTGAGGGCCAGTCATTCTTTGCCAAAATATTATTCATAAATGATTTTAAATGTTCATCAAAACTGCTTTAGTTTTTCAGCCTTTTCCCTTGAATATTTATTGTGGTGTCCGTTTTAGGTTTCCTAATTTATTTTAATATTAAATTCATTACAGTCTCTTGACTTATGAGGCACATGTTTGTTAAAAAGTATTCCATCGCTCTTGAAATTGCTGGTCGACGCTGTCAGCTGCACTGTTTGTATGTAGTCATGGCTAAATGGCATTCAGTAAATTAATTTGCAGGTTAATTGAAAATTAATTGTAGGTTTACAACAGTGCCTTTACCGTCAGGTAGAAGTAACAATTGAAACGTACGGCCGGAGGGCCAATTAAAATCAGTATGCGGGCCACATTTGGCCCTGGGGCTGGACTTTGCACACCCCTGGTTTAAGGGGTTACTGCCACACACCAAAAAGTGAACGTTGTAAAACAACAGCACAATAGCAGACAGTTTGCCTGTTCTTTAAGGTTTGTGCACAACTAAAACCCCTTTTCAAAGTGAAAATTTGCCAGCAAAGGTTCGTGCTTCGTATCATTCACAAATATAGCCATTAAGTAGTATTTTACTATAATGCATGCTTTCATACATGCTGTGAAAATTACAGTAAACAAGAGGTGATGTTCTCTTCATGAATAGCCAACAGCAGTTTCATTTCTGAATCATGAACAAAATACATTCCCACAACTTTTCTTAAAAACTGAAAACTTTTCACTCTCAAAACTAAAAAAAAATCAGCTGCAAAAACTGTCACAGAAACATCTCTGCCAACTGTAATCTGTCTGTTTATGTATTTGCCAGTAATGGATCAGCTTCTGTTCACACATGAACTCTACTGGTAATTTCTTGGGGATTTTGCTAGGGCTCATGCAGGTAAATTGCTGTGTCAACTTTACTGGAATTTTGACTCTGGCTTGCTTTCACACTTAACCCTTTCCTGTTTAATTCCTGGGTCAGAATGCACGTAGGGGCTAAATTATGCTGAAGCGTAAAGAGAAAGGAAAGGAAAAAATTTATGAGAGAGAGACATCTGTGGGGTATGTGTGGCCTAAACCCCAACATCTTTAAGCTTACCTAAAAAAAAAACCTAAAATATAGGAACTTCACAGAAACATTACAGACAAATAAGCGGAAAGGCTGACAAGATGGAGCATCTGCGGATTAGGTTTGTATGTGTGTGGGCACTGTAGTGTGACCAGGCCCGAGTCATTTTGACCTGAACTTCGTACTTCTCCAGCAGCAGTGAAGAAAATTTACCACACAGCCATTGTAAATAGGAGGAAACTTCATGACTGTATAAGAACTGAATCAGAGTGTGTATGTACGCGTGTGTGTGTGTGTTAGATAAGAGCTAAACTGCTCATGGCTCTCCCTGTATGAGTAAATGTGATGAATAGATGGCGTGGTAGCTATAAGTAACCTCAGAGCTCAGCTTTGTCTCAGTCTGCTTCTTTGATCCTCTCCAACTTGGAATCTCAGGATCACCCGTCTGTGTGTGTGAGTGTGTGTGGGTGTCAGTGTGTATGAGTAATGTGTGCATATTCACTGATCCTCACTATGCAGCAATGATTAGATCCAAATGTTTTCCTTGCTCATCCAATATTACACCACACTCTCATTCTCTGTCTCTCTCCCACTTTCTCTCTCTCCCACTCTCTCTCTCTCTCTGATGCTTCTTCTCCTCATCCTTCCCTCTGTTTATTCATTTGTCTCCTGCTTTTCATCTCACTGACCTGTACATACCCCTGATTGTGCTGGTTTGGCTACCCCAGTGGTGTTGAGTGTGATACTCCACATGTGGCTGTGCTCTGTGTGTGTGTGTGTGTGTTTAGCCTTGTTGTCACTGTTTCCACTTTATCTCCTGGGACTGGAGAATTGGTCCTTGATTGAGTTGATCAGGCAGTAAGAGAGAATATGTTTGTGTGGAACTATTTGTGAAGAAGAGAGAATGATAAGGTAAATGTGGGGATTTCTTTTTAGAATTTCTCTTTATGTGTGTGTGTGTGTGTGAGAGTGAGAGAGAGAGAGAATGAGAGACTACAAGATGACTGTTGCTTTTTACCTTTCCTTTTTACCCTTAAACATTTAAAATTGTCACTCTGTCGTGTGAGTTATTGCTTCTTCACGGCCCTCAACCCACTCAGTCTCACTTGTCCATCCCTGTTGATTATCATTAGCCCACACTACACATAATGTCTAATAGCACAGATTGTACCCCCTCGTTTTCTCTGTCTGAAGGGTTAAGGAATCTGCAATCGGCAGGAGAAAGTAAATGCAAATGCCAGCCAATGTTCCGCTTTTAAAAGAACACTTCAGTGCCTTTCTCAATATTCTTTCCAGTTTCAGAGTATTTTTTAAAACAAGGTTGATTGTTTTTTTGTGAAATGCATGCTTGTAGTATAAGCATACATGGTCTTCACAGGGTGCAAAACTGCATCTAGCTTCAGGTTCAAAATGATCTTCTTCAGCTGCAAGCTTAAAACAGTCCAAGAATTATGAATGATTATTTATTATATTGCCTCAAAATGTTTAACATGAAATTATTATTTTCCTTTTAGCTTGATACCTAGTATTCTGGCTATATAAGCTTCACTTAGCCATGTTCCTCTGCCTGAGAGAGAAATGAAAAACCATTCTGTACAGAAGTGCATCACAACCCACAACATTCAGTTGAATGCAGAGCAGTAAAATAGTCCTATTCAAGGTGTAAAATGTTATGTGTGCTGTTTATCTGGTCTTATTAGAAGATGCAAGCAATAGCACAGTTGTTGGACAATATTGCATTGTTACATTAGTGTAGTATTGGGGGAGTTTCTAAAGCCAGTTTTGCTGTCTTGTTCTAACATCTGTGGAAGCCTGTGAATTTTTGTGCCATATCTTGCTTTGGAAGCATGCATTTCAACAACAAAAAACACAGTTTTCTAATGAGAACTGAAAACTGTGTTTTCTTGAGGAAAAATGCTGGACTGTTCTTTAAATTGCTTAGATTTGATCACTGGAAAAGAAAAGCCACCCTGTAGCAGTGTGAGCCGCTGAGCTTGGCATGTGGTGCGTCTTCCTCAGGAATGCCCTATCGGTTTGTGTGGCCAGGTGGGAGAGCATGGGCAGGGGGCTAAAACCATTACAACAGCTTTATCCACAGATGATTGAATTGTGCCGGCTAAAGTCATTTGCCAGAGTCCATATGAACTTGTTCTGAAGGCTTCTGGATGGAGAGCAGAGAGAGAAATTAAAGCAGTGCTGCTGTTCTGTCCCATCTTCATCCATCTGGAGAAATGCATTTGGTAGTAACGTTGCTCACATTGGTCACTAATTGGAACTGTACTTAGTAGAGGTGTAATTCTCTGATCTTACAATGATTATATTTGATTACAGTTCTTTAGAAAATTATTCAATGCTTCATGAAATTTCATGTTTCACCACAATTTGAATCAATTTGATTATTTTACTCTGAATAGATAAATGTGAATAGAGGAGTTAGTAGAGAATATGTACAACAAAAACACAGTACAACAAATACAAAACAAAAAAAATACAGCCTGAGAATTTTATTTTGCTCAACAGTTAGAACATTCTGTACTGAATATTGTTATGATCTATTATATAATTACAAAACCAATGCAGCTGAATCACCACCTTAAGATCGATGCATCACAGTGCATTAATGCATTGTAGGTATGAAAGTGCAATAAGGATTTCGTATCTCCTCATTTCTGTCCATTTAGAACCTCGGAATGAGATGCCACGAGGAGACTGAATTGAGGCATTAGGGGAAAAAATGAACTAACATCATGCATGCACTAACTGACTTGCCCCATTTTGAGCTAGCAACCAGTGCATCTGAATGGCTGCTTCCCTTAATCTCTGCCATAACAGCAGTTGATAGGGCTGTAAAGGTGAATGCTATGTGCTTTGCTGCTGACCCCCTAATGATCATATGTTCACGTTCTTCCATCTCTCACTCTTTCCATCGTCCTTCCAACCCGTACACATTGCACACTTTTTGTCAATGAAATCAACCCATCAGTAGTTTTTTTGTTTTTCTATTTTATTTTCGTGTTTGTTAGCATAATTTTATTACTAACAACTAACCTCACAGCTGTAATATCATTTCCTCAAAAAAATTGTTTGTCCTCACACAAAAACGTATATAGATTCATACAAAATGCTCGTAGGCTCTTAATGTTACCCATAGTGTAAAGATTCACGTGTTGAAGTTTATTAGAGACTTTCAGTTGCAAACTTTGACAGTATCAGGCAAAGCAGTCATTATTAAAATGAAGCAGTAGAACCCAAGCTAAAAAACATTCAAAATTATCTTTAAGGTATCTATAATATGAAATAATGACAATATCTTTGCCTAAGACCACTCAGAATCTGTGTACAATCGGTCATTTCTTGCATCTTGAGTATCGGTATTACTTCCGGATAGGAATTAGCCATTTAATATAAAAATGCAGGTTTAAATGCATCCAAGATGTATTTAAAATTTAAAAAAGATTTAAAATTTTAAAAAAGATTTAAATCAGCTCGCTCAAATCATTTCAGGATGTTGTCTGAGACGCATTTTAGCTGAGTGTAAATAAATCCTTTTCTCCAGGACGCATTCGCCCTCCCAGTATATTACATCTTAATGCATGTAGTCTGTGAAGGGGGCTTATGTTTTACAAGTTTTTTTGCAGACTGATGCGCTTATTTCCAGTAGTTTTAAATGAGCAAGATGCATTTTGATGCTGTTTTTGCACACTGGCCACCTCGCGTTTTATGAGCACCGTGTAGCTGTCTTGGTTAACCCTTTTAAAAGGTCAGTGCCCTCTGGCAGTCCTCAAGTTTTATTACACAATTCTATAACCTAACAATGACTTCACCGGTTCGCATGGAAGTCCCTGTAGTTACTGAATAATAAATCTTAGTATGTCATAAGCCTGGAATTGTAAGGGCTGAAACGCTGTGAAACACCTCCCAACTGTAATGACTAATGCATTGCATGTTGGGTGTGTACAGAAAACAAGTGTAAGAAAATGAACAACACCATCAGTTTTCCATTTTCAAGGCAGCAACCATCTTTTGCACAGAACACGGAAGCAAGAAACAACCTCAGACAATTGGCTGATTTGTCTGCTGATTTCCGTGTTATAAACCTTATAGCAATCAGATTTTAATCCAGTTACCAGCAACACATTTGATTAGCACCTGTAAATGCATATGGACATTGTCTTATTGGGATGCAAGATGCAAGATGCAAGAGTCTCAGCAAACATAAATCCACTTAGCAAACACAGTTGATACAGGACACTAAAGATGTCTGATGTATTCAAAAAATTAATTAAACATGTTCTAGCAATGATTGACTATGTCAGGTATGATGTTTCCTCGTCGCCCGATCGTTGGGTGCTGTGTGCCCTTCCACTGTCCTCCTCTCCTTCCACCTTCAGACATACATACATATATATATGCACACATCTCCTGCACTCTCTGCCAAACTCACACCTGTGCGCCAGCCTGTGTCTTCATGCCATTTACCTTATTAAAACTGCGCTTATCGATCATTCTTGCCAGGAATGCCATCGCCCACCACATTAAAGAAGTCAGAGAAGTCTGGTTTCAGCAGCCCCGTGCCTTCGCAGACCAACTCCCCTCGAACGGCATTCACACACCATCATCGGCCAGTCATAACAGGACCCAGAGGTGAGGTCCCCCCTCCAAACCCAAACCCTGCCAGCACCACCCTAAAGCCCCCTTCCAGAGCCCCTAAACCCACCCAAAAAAGCACGTCTTTTTCTTCCTCCTTCTGCCCCCTCCCACACCTCCTCACCCTAAAGTGTACCCCCTCCGGTCAGTACGGATTAAACATGTGGGGGACTCTCTCCTCTGAGGCTGGTCCAGTGCACAGCAGGGCTGGTCTGTTCAGGCTTCGAGGCTGTGTGAGTGTGTGTGTATGGTTTAAGAGAGAAAGGAGGAGAGAGCTAGAGAGTGGCAGACACACTTTCCTAATCCTAACAGTGACTTTCCAGCACTCTTTCGGTCTTTCAGTGGCTTGCCCATCTTGGGCGGTTGTAGGCAAATACATTGGGGATGTGCAATATCAGATGTGCCCTGTGTATTTGGGCATGTGTGTGTTTTCAGAAGAGAATTGTCTTGAGTTTGTAGAATGTCAAGACCAAGACTAACAAGATATTGCTGACTTTGTAAAGCGCTTCAGTTTTGAAAAACTATGTAAACCTTTGTAAAACTTTTTTACTGGGGTTAAAATTAGGGTTAGACTTACGGTTATGTGTATAAAAGTCCCTATTACATATAGATATATAATATATTATTTATAATGTACATATTATTATTTATATAGAGAGTGTATACATATAGCACCAGTCAGAGATCATCATTCATTTATTTCAGTTCCAGTCAAAAAAAAATTCTGGTGTCAAGAAAAAAGCAGAAAACATAAAATTATACAGAATCTTCCACAACTAAATATAATATGACTTTTTATGTAATATCAGTTGTTGAGGTCTGGACTCTGGGGTGGTCAGTTCATTGTTCTGAGAACACCAGCAGCTTTTTTGATTTGCAAATGTTCTTCTATTTTATCCATTTTCTTTTCTCAGCAACAGCTTCTTGACAGCTACACATTCTTTCAAACCCATAGTGTTAAGCTTTCTTATCACAGTGAAAGAATGAACTGATCTGAAACTGGAATATAGCTTGTTTTTCTCCCATGTTTCATAGATAAAGTAGTGTTTATCTTTAAGTACTTTTTATCTGATGGTGGTCTACTAGGTCTTGTTGTTAGGTGTCCTATTTTCTCTGTATCGTATAATCATTTTTTGAACTCCAGTTTTGGAAACTCTTGTTTGTTCACTTATTGCCATTATGCCAATGGATTATCCTATATCTAATTATCTCAGAAATGTATCTAGAGAAAAGCATAACTTGTACTTAATGACATTTTGACAGGAATTCAAATAAATTATTTTTGTGTATGTCCCAACATCTTGACATTGTATTTAAAAAAAATGTTTTTAATATAAACACTGATTCTAGTGGTGACTGATATGTGAGTTCGTATTCACTCTGGTTGAGGTCAGCACTTTATTGATGTGTAAGTAGGATCAGGTTATCAGGGCTGTACTGTCATTGTCCTGTCAGTAGATAAGAACAGGTTTTTACACACACACTTACGCACACACACAGCTTTACCTGCTCTATACACACACCTGCTCCCTCTTTAAGAACTATATGAGGAGAAAAAACTCAACCTCACATTTACTTTTATGAAACTTGTCTGCTTTGTGGTTTCTTCACCACATATTTGCAGCACATTTTCTCCCTTTGGCCACCATTCAGACCTGAGGTCAAGCAGACATATGCATTAGACTATGAAACATTTCAGAACATCCAACACAGATGAATTTTCTGTCCACAACTGCATTGCACATGATGTTTCCTAGAATAAAATGAGATGCTTTAGCTTGATGCTGGCAAACACTCAGCCCTCACAGTCTCAGAGAACCTTTACTGCCCCCGTCAATGCCGTCCATCTGCTGAATAAATACTGGATTTAAGTCCAGAGATTAAATACTTCATATTCAATGACATGTTGACCTAAAAGGGCTAAGATAAATCGGAAAGCCTGGTGAGAGGCTTAAATTTTAAGTAAAAGATAGCCTATTCCTGTCAGATTTTGGACTTTGTGTGTGTATATTTTACACTAATAGTGACATGTCACAGGGTTATGTGTGACTTAGTCTATGTAAGAAGCGGTTGTGTTTTTTTGTTTTTTAAACAGCTAACAGGTCCCTGAATGTGCAATTAAATATGAAGTTCTAAAGCAGGTTAGCTGAAATCTCCCCCCTCCCCCACTCTGCAAAGCCATGAGGGAGAAATATGGTGAGATTTACACCATGGTCAGATTAGCTAGCTTAGTTCAGCTCCAAACTCAGCCCCAACAGCCCCAGACCCCACCCCACCCCACCCCGAAAAAACGCCCTCTCAGCACCTTATTTTTCTTAAATCATTTCAAAATATTTAAAACCGTCTAAATCTGTCCTCTCTCTCGGTTATCCTTGTGTGACTTTGTAACACTGGCTGTCCCCTCCCTTTCAGTGTTATTCAAACCGCCCAGCGAGGAACCTGTTGCTAATGCAGCAATGAAATAAAGGGATCTTTTCTCTTTTTTTATCACTTTGGTTATTATTTCAATAATCCACCACTGGTATTGTATATCTTCTTCAAGAAAAGTTGGCAGCAAAATGGGGAAAGTGAGGAAGAAAGAAAGTCTGGAAGAAAAAAAAGAGAAAAGAAAGATCAGTGAACCAATGCGATTTGTAAAGTGGAACTAATCTGGAGCCTCTTTCTCTCTGGTCTGCGCGCGGGCGCCGCCACAATGGCTACAGAGGAAGCCGTTCGCGGCCACAGCTGCTGGAGCTCCGCCTTCATTCAGAGCACCATTATCATTCTCATATTTACTCTCTCAGATATGGGTCAAGCAGGACCCCCCTCAGATTCACTACAGGGCCACCCAGTACAGAGAGAGAGACAGAGAGAGGAAGAATATATGAATTTCTAAACTCCTTAAATGGCCAGGACCCACCAGCAGGTTCAAACTTTTATTACACAATTTTATAATTTAAGATTAACTCAGCTAGTCTGCATTGTAGTCAACAAGCTTTAGGATGTGGTAAGCGTGGGATTTTAAGGAATAATGCAAATATTCATTGATGTTTACAGCGATTATATGATGAATTCCTTAACCCCATAAATAGTTTTTATATGGGCCTTCACTTCTAACTATACAACTTCATAACTTAATAACTTACTCATAGCTGCATAACTTACACATTGGTGTCATACTAGTTATGGTTAAGATTAATAGTTAAGATTAATAACAGAATAATTCTGCAGTTTAGATAGTTTGGACCATTTCTGTTGCTCCATTCAATATGAAATGTGGTAGCTGGAGTTTTTAAATGGTTGAAAAAAACTTTAGTTACAAGCTTTCCGTAAGACAGTGACAATTTACTCACTGTTGTGTTGATTCGTTTGGGGAAATGAGTGAAAGAATGTGAGGATACCGCTCAACTTTAACCTTTTAAACTCCTCCACAGCGCCCTCAACTCCGTACAACCCAGAGATGCAGACACATTAGAAACCGCAGTCTCTCTCTGTCTTTCTCTCTTTCTCTCTCTCTCTCTCTCTCTCTCTCTCTCTCTCTCTCTCTCTGTCTCTCTCGCTTTCTCTCTGTCTGTCGGCCTGTTGTTTGAAGCTGCATTAGGGCCTCTCGTACATGGTGGCGCCACGCTCCTGAGGAGCGTCCCGCTGGTCAGTAGAAGCTGAAAGGCGGGGAAGTGAAGCTCCAGCCTCAGTTTTCTCTCCTGGGGCCTCCCCCCTGCTCTCCTGTTGTCTGCAGTTAAGACACACTGCTTGTCTCCCAAGCTTTATTATCCCTCTTGTAGCTGTGTGTTCTGGTATTAGCCTTATCCCTCCCCGCCCTTTCTCATGTCTGCTCTCTCACAGGCTTTTCAACATGGAGGATGGGGGTTTCCCCTTTTATTTCTCCTCAGCTTCGTTGAGAGCACCCAGACGAGCTTAGAAAGCCTCTGTGGAATTATTTTGTCTGGCCGCCCTGACAACGTAAAACACGGTCCGATTTTGTTTACTTGCTGATTTGCATCCAAATATCCATCATTTAGTGAATAAGGATATGACATGTAAGTAAGCCATTTGAGTAATTGGCAATCATTCCAGAACATTTTGAATCCATCAACTTGTGGGGAAAAAGTGTTTTTTTTCCTTAGGCATGCTAACTGACTGAGGCCATTTGCATAATTGACATAAGAGGTCTTTTGCAGTTTTTGGCCTTTGCTTGGCATAGCTGGTGAGCTGGCCAGGAGTAAAGTGAGAATTTTAGGGCTTTAAAAGCACCCAAGAATTGGCAGAGTTCTGTCCAGTAACATTTTAAATTACAGGTAAGAGTTTAACCTCTGAAAGGTGAACGTTTTGACGAATTGTTTTGTTTGGCCTGGGAAAAGACTGTGAAGCGATCCAGTCTGGACATGTTGCCTCCAGATAGACGCACCGATGCCAATTGGACCCACTTCTTAGAATAATGGAGAGGGAACCATATGCTGCTTCACTGTTTCATTAAGTGAACGGATGGATTATGGATTGAGATCCAGTGGAAATAAAGCTACTTAACACAGACTCTCAGCATTCTGGCTTGGTTTGATCTTTGATCTAGTGCTTTGTCTCTGTCCTAATACAGTTCTGAATAAAGTCTATGGAATAAACAGTTTATTTTTAAATGAGAATTGGTGTGTTAGTGCTTGTTCGTATGTACAGTACTGTGCAAAAAGAAGAGATCACCCTAGGGTAGGGTAGTGAATAGGTGTGTGCGCGTGTGCAGCGACTGACTCAGCCCTGCGAAAGGGTGTGTCTCACTGGGGGTCAGTCGGTGTGTGTCTCCAGCAGCAGCCACTGCAGTGTTGCCTCAGCATGCAGGACTAATTCAATAGAGGAGAGGATGGCTAAGTGTGTGTATGTGTGCTCCCCGTCTCTCCTTCCCCTCCTCGCTCTTAAGGTTCACATTCCTCACTTTCGCCCCAAAAGACGTTGTCACAAAAAAAAAATATGAACGAAAGACCTAAACGCAGCGTCACCCAACGCAAAGAAGGGCAGGGAAAAAAGCAATCCATTCTATTATTACTGTAAATACAATGGCTACATCTCAGCCCCAGCACCCAGAGTTTCCAGTCACCCTCTATTGACAGAACCATAAATCAAGGCCAAAGCTAAGTGAATTACTGCAGCAGGGAGCTGTGGCTTTAACAATGTTTATGTAGTATCAGCTTACCATCTCCACTGCGAGAGAGAGAGAGAGAGAGAGAGAGAGAGAAAGAGAGAGACTGGAGAAGGGAGAGAGTGCAGAGTCTTATTAACTCCGCTGCAATACATCACAGGCTTAAAGAGGCAGCGCTGCGCACGTCCTGGGCATTATACTAATAACCAATAACCGAATATTACCTCTATTAAGAGCTGCCTAATTAGATTGTGCCGGTTACAATTAAATACTTGATAAGCCTCGATCCATTAAAGGCCTGTCAGTCTCCTTAGCGCTCCAGCCACGAAAGGTGTGGGCGCACGCTGGGTCATCACTGTCATCCCTCCATAATGCCTAAGTCCTATTTTGTTTCTTTTGAGGCTGTCACAATTACACTGTACCTTCTGTGCATGTTTTAAAAGCTCCGACCAGTCTTATTTTTTATGTTCTATGTTTTTAAAGACTTACTTGTTTGTCTTTTGCCAATAAAGTGCTTTAATAGTTATTGTTTAGTTATTTTAAATGGAGAATTCTACCCCACTTTCAAAATTTCTGCATCTTTAAGTCGATAAGTCATTCAGTGTTGATGGATGTGAAAGTGGCAATTGACACAGTAGTGGTGATAGGACATGAGTGGAGTTTAATACTTCCAAAAGCTGCATCAGGAAGTTGTTACGCGAAATGCTTCGAATATGTTGCCTGAAGTCTCTGAAGTTTTGAGATAATTTACTACTATTTTTACTTTTATGTATGGCTGCATTTGCATTGTAGATGTTGCGATTCCTTGTTTCTGTCGTCATTGTAAAGACAGTCTAATTTGTAATAAATCACTTTATTTACATCTCAGCAATTGAATTATGCAGAATGTTAAGAAATCCCCTTTAAAACTTGTATTACTTGATTATTTGTCAAAATAATAGAAACCATTAATGATATAATCATTAGTGATAGCTCTTGTTTCTTTTTATGTTAGTTGTAGCAGCACTACAGGGTAAAAGGGTAAACAACAACAAAAAAATGCAAGCTGGTTTATGAAGTATTTATCCTTGTTGTGTGCCTGGGTTTGGAGTGTGAGTGTTTGCTCAGTACACTCAGTTAGTGTTCCCTGGAGCTCTGTTAATATGTGCCATTGCTTCACTGAGCTGAATTAGCAGTGTTGATGTTTTGAGTGCTGTTGACATAAATGATGTAGTTGCGTGGAGCGTGTTGTCATTGTTATGAGCAGGTGCGTGAAGGGCTTCTGTGCATACGAGAGTACCAAACGAAAAGTGTGCATGTGTGTCACTGGCTCAACAGGGTGTGCAAATATCGATCCATGTGTATGTATGACAGCGGCCGCTCACTCTGTCACCTCATATCTGTGTGTGTTGAGAGCGTGTGTACAGCCAGTTAGGCTGCAAAAAGCGCTTTACCTCAGTGTGTGTCCCGTCTGCATGTATCCTCATCCTTGTATTGTGTCACTTTTCCATAGTCTGTGTGCATCTGCAACCCGACCTCGTAGACTGAAAAAAGTGATGAATTTAATTGACTTGATACAAATGTGTACATCATTTCCACATAAATAAAATATATTGCATTGAAACAGTTATTGGCAAAAGTAAATAAACTGAGAGACAAAACCAAGTCGGTGTTAAGGGTTGGCGATGTAGCTGAAATATAACATATATAATGATACTTTAACCCCTTAAAATCCCAGCCTGACTACATTCTGCATACAAGGAGAGAAAGGAGGATGCTCTAAAAATAAATGAATAAACAAGATGTATAAATAAAGAAAAAAATCCAAACAGCTGCTCGTTATTAAACAATTTATGCCATTACAATGATTGTTGTTGTTTTCTTATCCATGCAGTTGTTCAGTGATGTAGAAATAATGACGATACTCATGATATACTCAGAAAAGCTTATTATGGTGTAATTTATCACAATAATGAAAATATATCGTCATATAGCCCACGGCTGGTTGATGTATTTTATTCATGTGGAGATGATGGACAGATTTGAATCAAGTATGTTCAAAGGGTCACTTTTTTCAGTGTGGAGTTAACCCTCGTGTATCTATCCCGTTACCCCCTCTCTCCTTTCTAACGTTTCTCTCTCTCTTTCTCCCCTCCCCCTCTCTCTCTCCAGCGAGTCCTCACGCCACGCCGTCAAGTCTTCATTTCCCGACGTCGCCAATCATCCAGCAGCCCGGCTCCTACTTCTCCCACCCTGCCATCCGCTACCACCCGCAGGAGACGCTCAAGGAGTTTGTCCAACTTGTCTGCCCTGACAGTGGTCAGCAAGCTGGACAGGTGGGCTTCCTGAACGTAAGGAGCATTTTACATACATACGCCAAAGTATCACTTGCTGGCCATTCATATGCATATGTGTTCTTTATGGCTGTGTTTTTGTGCTTTTTTTGTTAATTTGTTAATTGTGCTAGTGCTTGGTTTGTGTGTATATCGGTTTTGTTATTTTTAATTAGTTTGATTAGAAAACACTGTTTTATGATTACTCAACTTAATTCAAGTCAACTTCACTGTCCCATTTGGAAAACCGGGATTGCAGTCAGTAATGTATAAAAATACATGATTAGTAACATTAAAAATTAAACGCTTATTTCAAGGCTACCTACATAGGCACATGCATAAGAATTAAACAACAGTACTTTTATATCTGATAAAAGTAAGTGCATTGAAAAACAAATATACATGTGTATTATGTATAAATTCAATAGTAGACTTTTTTACTGGCATAATATTTTACCAAGGCTGTTTCTACTGTTTACTGAAGTATAGGATTTTGTGCTTTGCCACTGATATGTACATATGGGAAAATATATATATAATTAGCACTTAAATTTGGGAATATCTCCATATTTAATATGTGTGATAAATGCTGTTCTTAACCCTTTAAGCAATTGTATGGCTGTGTTTTTTTCTGCCGTTGCTGTTGCTGCATTTATTTGAAGTATAAAGAACATGATTTAACAAAGATTTGTAGATTTTTTTGCTGTTTGTCTAACAAACTGCAACAATACAACACATGTATAGGTATATTAGTCACACATCAGTTATATTTTATTGTTATTCTAATTATACAATACAGTAATAAGTGCTTACCGATCTGATCTGTCCTCTAAATGAGCTTGCATTTGCTCGAAAAAACATCAGTGCTTCCAACAATAGAGGAAGCCTCCTCCATATTTTATACAATGATAGAAAACATGGTAGGGGCCATCACCAAATTCTCTGAATGAATCACCAGCAAGATGCTCAGTTCGACTGGGTTCAAAGAAAAGGTTCATGGAGGCACTTTTAAGGATTGTATATTGACATAAACTAAATAAAAATCTACACATTTTCGGTTTTGTTAAATCACATTCTTTACATATCAAAAGCAGCAACAGCTGTGAGACGCTAAATGGCAGAATTAACCACATTTTTGTGTTCTTAAAAATTAAAGCGTTCTTAAAGCATTGATGGTTCCTAAAAAAAGCTTCAGTTTCAATTAAGCACCCCAGTGGTTCCAACTGAAAACTTTTATGTTGTAGTGCTTTAGTGTGTATGTGTGTGTGTTGATATGTGACTATAACTCACACACGTCACACACGTGTGGGTGTGGATGTGTGTGTGTGTGTGTGTGAGAGAGAGAGAGAGAGAGAGAGAGCCTCTGCAGTGAAGACTGACTTGCTGGAAACATTCTTGACTGCGTGTCTGCAGATGGATAGTTGATATATTTGCGTCTAGACCGGGATCAATACACAGTACGGGCTCCTGCACCGCACTCTTCATTTGCACTTTTCATCTGAAACCTGTCTGTGTGTGTAGGACACATACACACACAAAAACACACCAAAGGGTATATATGCAGCTGTAAGCTCGTAGCCTCTAATTCAGCACAGTTTGATGCTGTACAGTATGAATGGCTTTGCACTTTTCAAACATGACTTGAGGCCAAAGCCTGGAGTGATTGACATTTCACACATAATTAGCAATGGAAATGGCTTCTGATGTATAAGCCATTTGTTACACAGTTTAATTAATAATTAATGAGTGAATTAATCACTGAACAGTTATTTGCACTTTCTTAAATTAACACAATTTTTCTTACCATTTACTTCTCATACTGAATCTTCTGGGGATTTCAATTATGTAGAATTTCTCCTCAATTAAAGAGCAGTTACTGACGCCCTTAGGATACCTAAAGCTAGGGGTGGGCAATATAGAAGTGCAATAAACGATATGTATCCGTTTTTTTCTGAGGTCTGTGAACAGACAAGGACAATGACTTTGATTCAACATAAGAACATGAGGAAAAAACAAACAGTACAAAAGTAGATAAAAAGATGAATGTGAGTAAAAAAATAAATGAATGGTGATTGTGTGTAAATATGGTGGACATAGGGCAGAGATGGGGACTCTCAAATGCACTGAGTCACACTTTTGTCACATGTTGACTGACTCACAGTTCGACTGGGACTTGCCCTTAACCCCTTATATAGCCAGGGTCAACCAGCAGGCCCACAGTTCCACACTTCTATAACCTAAGAATAGCTCTGCCAGTTTGAAGTCCCTGTAGTTACTGAATAATAAGCCATAGTATGTATTAAGTCAGGCTTATTAGATAGTAAAGCTTATAAGGGGTTATTTAAAGGGTTAAAATCCCAGGCTAATTATACACTACAGCTTATTATTCAGCAACTCCAGGGAACAGGTTGAACCATTCATGGAAGTGTGTAATAAAACTGGCCATGTAAGGGGTTAAGGCATTCACTTGAGACTTAAGGCTCCTGAAATTTTAGCCTGAGAAAAAAAGATGGACAAAACTGATTAAATTAAGAACACTAGCATTAATGCAATAAAAGAATAAAACCTTCCAAACTAATGTGGGTGACTTTGTCAGTTTTGCCATTGTCATGCACCGTCATTGCTGTAATTCACATAGCAAGCCTCTTATTATAGAAAAACCTTCAGTCTACTGTACTCAGTAAGTACAGTGTTTAAAGGAAAAAGGCAAAACAACTTTAAAGGGTCAGCTAACCTGAAGTTTGGAGAGCAATGTGCTATGTAGTGTATCTAAATTCATCTAAATGTTATGTATCTAACATTTTAGTGAGTTACAGATCACATTCCTCTAAAACCTAACCTCTTAAATGCCCAGAGCCTTGGTAACACACTCCTGTAACCTAAGAGTAGCTCAACCAGTTTGCATTTCCTGTAGTTACTGAATAATAAGCCTTAGTATGTAGTAAGCCTGGGATATTAAGGGGTTAATCAAACTTCAGCTGGATTAGCTACCTACCTACTCGCTAGCGTAGTTGCTTTGTAGCCTACAGACTATCACACTGTTTTAACTTGTTTTGCCTTTCACACAGCATTTACTACATGGTGTGCTTAATTTCAGTTGTTCAGACTGAAGATTTTTCTATAATGAAAGTCCTGGAAAGTTTTTAATAATGAGTTTACTGTTAAACAGTGCAATGTCTGCAGCTAAAAACAAGACTAATATAAAATTCTCTATTAAACAGGCTTGACTCGCACTTGCACCCCAGAAGCTCAAGACATGACTTACATTAGCGTACCAGAGACTCAAAAATCGACTTGGACTCGCACCCCAGAGACTCGAGACCTGACTCACGCCGCAAGAGACTCTAGACTCAAATCTGACTCAAACCCCAGAAACTCTGTACTTAACTCAGCTAGCATTCCTGAGACTGGAGTCTCTACTCAGACTCACGTCCCAGAGATTCGAGACTCGACTGTCTCAAACCCCAGAGACTCTGTACTTGACTCAGCTAGCACTCTTGAGACTGGAGTCTCAACTCAGACTCGTGCCCCAGAGACTCGAGCCTCGACTCTGATGTAAACCCCAGAGACTCTGTACTTGACTCAGCCAGCACCCCTGAGACTGGCGTCTCGACTCTGACTCAAACCCCAGAGACTCTGTACTTGACTCAGCTAACACCCCTGACACTGGAGTCTCAACTCAGACTCGCGCCCCAGAGATTCGAGACTCGACTCTGACTCGAAATGAATGGGGAGGTGGGTATGGTGTGTGTGTGTGTGTAGGGTGGGTAGAGTGGTAATAAATCTGTTGTGTATGTGAAAATGACCCGGCAGCTCTGTGCTGTGGGCTCTGCTGTGGCCCTGACTGTGGATAGAGGCGGCACGCTGCTTTGGTAATAGATTATGGACGCCAAAGTGCGCAGAGCAGCAGAATTCTTTATGACCAGGAGCAGTGGAAAATTGCTGAGCACTGTCTCACCGACGCTTCAGACACACACACACACACACACACACACACAGGGTGCTTTAGATTTGTGGTTTGTGCATGAGATTAAGAGTTTGTTGTTGTGCCCTCTTGCCTGGAATAAGTGTGTGTGGTTGGCTGAGGGGCATATAACCTAAGAGATATGAGGTGGTTTTCATGTGATTTTGATTTTCTTTCTTTGTGTCTCTCTCTCTCTCTTTTTCTCTCTCCCTCACTCTCTCTCTCACACTCACTTTCTCTTGTTCTCTCATTCTTATCTTGTTATCACTCTCATTCTACCCCTCTCTGTTTTTTTCTCCTCTTTATCTCTCTAACTTGGTTCTTTGGTTCTCTTTGTCTTTCTCTTTTTCTTTTACACTCTGTCTCTCTCACTCTCTCTCTCTCTATCTCTCTGTCTCCAGCCCAATGGGAGCAGTCAGGGGAAGGTTCACAATCCCTTCTTGCCCACCCCGATGTTGCCCCCACCACCACCCCCACCCATGGCCCGGCCTGTGCCGCTGCCCGTGCCGGACTCCAAACCGCCCTCCACCTCGGCCGAGGGAGGGGGCAACTCCCCCACCTCGCCAAGTAAGAACTGTGAACTTATACAGCTTTCCCCCCTTTTTTGAATGTAGTCAGTCAGCAAAGACATGTTTGATGTCTTTTAATTTAGCACTGGAGCAACGAGGATAATGTAGCTTACAGGTAATGTAAGCTTATAACCACCGGTTTGCATTGTGTAAATCATAATACACTTGTCTCAAACCACTTTGAGTTTTTAAGTAATCTCAAATAGACTTGGTTACAGTTTCTGACACTGTATGACATAGTGTAATCTATAAAAATTGACTGAAGTACATCTCACAGCTAAAAACAGTAGGTGTAGTCATCTTAAATTCTGATTTTTGTGCATGATTTTGTCAGTTTTTATAGATAACAGAATGTCATACAGTGTTAGAAACCACACAAACAAATCTATATTGCATTAAAGGGGATTATGTAGCTCTAGTGTGTGTGTGTGTGTGTGTGTGTGTGTGTGTGTGTGTGTGTCTGCGTGTGTGTGTGTGTGTGTGTGTGTGTGTGTGTGTGTGTGTGTGTAAGTGTAAGTGTAAGTGTATCTGTAATGGTATCTCAATGATGAACGTGATATCTCATCAGACATGCTTTGTGTCTGTATAACATAGCCCTGCAGCAGTAAAAGCCTAACATCAGTTTACTCTCTAGCCTGTGCTGCTCCTACTATGGTACTGATGTTAGCACTGTGTATGTTTTTCCCCTACAGCATACTCCACACCGAGCACGTCCCCCGCCCAGCGCTTTGTCAGCGTGGGCCCCAGAGACCCCAGCTTTGTAAATATCCCTCAGCAGCCTCAGGTGAGCACACACACATACTCATACAGCAGAACAACTAGGACTTCAAGTGAGGTGCTGAACATTTCCACTCCAGAGTGATTCCAGTTTAGGACTGTTCTCCCTCTCTCACTTTACAGTCTTTAAAGCAGGCACGACACAACTTTTTTCTTGGGGGACCAAAGTATAATGTTTGTGGTTGGCTGGGGACAAAAAAAGACAAAACAGCTAGCTGACAACTCTTTAGCTTTACATTTTCACACACTCTCAGTATACGTAGAGAAACTATATTCTTTAATTACTCCAGTGGTTTCTTTACATATAAGGTATATAATTGTAAATCTCCTTAATGCCCTGTAAAGGCACCTGTTACACTTGATCAGCTATATCACTTTATCAATTATATGTGTTGTTACATCTGCACTGCAGTGACAATTCTGTGATGTCAAAGGTCATAAATAGCCCCATCACTTTAGATGGTGTACTTAACTATTATAATTTTGATTCGCACCAGAAGTAGCTCCTGTCTACTTTTTGTATAATGCTGTTTCTCCTAAGGAATTTCAGTGGAACGTAATAATCTGTGGCAAACTTGATAAATAACTTACACGTTTTGAGAATCACCATTAAGTCTTCTGAGCTATCAAAGGGCAGCATTTGAGCAGTAAAATTGTCCTCTGTGCGTGTGGTATTTGTTACAAGATTCAATAGGATTCAGTCTTTTTTTTCCCTCTAATATCTGATCCCGCATTTTTATGATATCGGCCCGATGCTGATACCAGGTATAGAATTGGTGACATCTCTAGTTTGTGTGTGTATTTGTGTGTGTTATGGCTGCAGTGTGTCCAGAGGTTTGCTGCAGCGTCTGTATGTCGATTTATTGACTCTGTCACAGAGTGCGAGGCACACTCGCCTGAGAAGAATGGAGGCAGGTGTTTGTCAGACCAACCAGTAGAGGAGGGGAGGTGTTATTATGTATTGTTTGGATTTATTTATTTCCCCTACTACCATCCCTCTCTCTCTCTCTCTCTCTCTCTCTCTCTCAGGTGGCAGCTAGGAGGCTAAGCCTCTCTTTCACTCTGTGCATCTATCTGTGCTAGCACACAAAGCTAATCCAACATTATTCATTACTTCAGCCTCTTCTATGTGTGCGTGGTTGTGTTTGTGTGTTTGTTCTAGCCCATTGTCCCCTACTCAATTCATATAAATAGTAACACATTCACAAACTTGCACATATGGCATTTTGGACCCCTCTCTACTCACTTGTCTTGGGCTGGTGCTCTGATGCTTACAGCACTGTGGAATACTCTACAGTGCTAATCACAATGACCAGAAAGTGCAAAGTGTTTTAATGCTAATGACCTGGAAAGTTTTAAGGTTGTAATAAGATGTGGAGTCAGTCCAATTCCCAGCTTCAACTGGCATAACATGCAGGTTTTTTTAAACAGGGTACTTTTTGATGGCCATCTTATGTAAATCGCTTCAAAAATAGTTACCTAGAAAATAGTTACATTAAAAATACTATTAAAGCTTAGTGATTTTTTGTACTCTATTCAGTATTGACAGTCATACATTTCAATGTCACATAACTGGCCAGCATACAAAGAATTTTAAGAGAGATTTTCAAAGTTCACAGGGGGGTCCAAAGTTTCCAGAATTTGTCAGTTTGGCAATGCAGGTTGTAGGTCAGTTTTTCCATGGGAAGCACCGTTGCTGCTTGGGAAAGCCACTGCTCAACAGTTGGTGGACAGGGACTGTCCCATTGAATTAGGATACATTTTTTTGCTGGAAATGAAAACAGTACAGACAAAAATTTGCCATCAGTGTCAAAAATATGTTCTGCAAAGCTTTGTGTTTTTAAAAGAAAATTCTATACCTGGTATCATCAATACTAAACTCTTATATACTTTCAGTATAGTTATCAGCATAGAAAACCTGATATTGTTTCGTCTTTAGTTGAAGTCCAGTTCTTCACTGCTGTGGGATCCCTTCCAGGACAGACATGTCAGTGTAACATGCTTTCTTTTACTTTTAAGTAGGCAGGGATAAAAAATAATAATAATGAATAATTCCCAGTACTGATATTGAAGCATTGGGTATAGGCCAGTAACAATCAGGTGCAAAACTACTGAAGTGTAAAATGCTTTTTATAATTGGAGAGCATCTAAAGGTAGGCTGTCATTCATGCTCAGACTTCTCAAACGCTCCATTACCCCACAAGAAGAACTACACAGCTAACACATCACACACTGTAAATTAGTACTATTTCAGACTAGATTTGTGACAGGATTGGATCAAAATCACTCTTTTTCCTTCTGATATCTGATCCAAAGACAGAGAGATGGAGAGAGGGCAGAGAATAAAAGAGAGAGCTTCTGTTGATATCAGGCCATTCCCTATGAGTACCTTCTCTTAACACATATTTTACACAAAAAGTGTTAAAATAGATACCAAAAATATATTCTAATTAAACACCATTTTGAGAATATTGAAGCTTAGATGTTTGATTTAGAATCACTAGACGTTACTACTTCTTTGTGTTCCCATTATAACAGCAGACAGAAAGCTGGTCTCAAGCCAGCTGTCAGCTAGTTTTCCATAGTGAGTGAAGTAGTCTTGGTGTGTTTCTGTTTGGTAACATGACGATTGCATTGAACCTGCAAATATTAAAACCAGTATGTGTTCCGTAGATGAAGAGAGAGAAACAGAGAAGGATTGAGGCACCTTTGACCTTTCCGCAGGAGTTCAGTCACACTGTTTGAATCCTTAGCAAAGTACCCCGGGGCGGTGAGGACAAAAGTTACCCCCGGCGGCCTGAGTGGGGGGGCTGGGGAGGTTATAGAAAGAGCCAGACGGCCAGACGAGAGAGAAGAGTGTAACAGTAAACATTCCCCATAGCTAGGCCTTGGTAACCAGGCACAGGCAGGGGTGGGGGTAATGATGGAGGGCTCTGAGAGAGGAGGGGGTACGGGGGGGTGAGAGTGACAGAGAGATTGAGAGAGGGCAGAGAATGAAAGAGAGAGCGGTGGGAGGGTGGCACTGCTTCTATTGGAGCTGTTGGCACTGGGCCTCGGAGAGGGAGAGACTGGCATAGCCTGCAAAGGTACAGTTCACACACACACACGTTTGTTTTCATGCAAGGTCAGGACATGTATCATGAAAATGTAAGTACATCTGTGTTTTAATAATAATAATAGGTCAATTATATGTGACATATATACCGTGCTGTGCCAGAATTTCATTTATTTAATTTCCAGTCAAAACGGCCGTTAAGTACAAGTTGTTCGTTTTTCGCAAGATGTTTCTGGGGAGATTAGATATAAGATAATCTACTTGCATAAAGAAGGGAAAGAATCAAAGGAAAATAAGTACAAAGACCAGGAGTTTCCAAACATGGAGTTAAATGATTAAAAATACAGAGAAAATGGGACTCCTAAAAACCATGTGAGAGCTGGTAGACACCAAAACTGTCAGCAACACTTAAAGATTTCATTGTTAAGAAATAGGAGAAAATCTAGCTCCACTCTTGCTTTGGATCTAAAAAAATCCGCAGGTGTTTCTGTCTGTCCTTCTACTCGGAGAAGAGAACTCAGTACTGAGTTTCAGTCTGAAAAGATGTGTTGTTGTCATTAAGCCCTTAAATTTGCAAATCAAACAAAGAAGCTGAATGTGTTCTTAGAATAATGGACTGGTCTCCCCATAGTCTGGACCTCAGCATCACTGAATGTGTTTGAAATTACTTGGATTGTGAGAAACAGAAAATCCAGACTTCTAAGACTGAACTTTGGAGATCTGGAAAAATATTCCTGCAGATTTCTTTGAAAAACTGAAAGCAAGTTTTCTGAAAGGGTGAAAGCTGTAGTAAAGCTGTTGAAACTTATTTATTAATTATAATCTCAGTAACCAAGAAGATACATTTTACATAGTCATATTGTTGGTTGAAAACATTTTTCTCTAGCTGAATGTCAAATGGCTTCCTATTTCCTATACAGTGCACTACATAAATCATAAAGCATGGCTTTTCAATGAAATGGTGTCAGATGTTTCTCTTGGACATTTAATGTACTGTTTGGATGTTAAAGCCATCATGACCGATGTAGTGCAGTATATAAGGAGTAGGGGGGCATTTGCAATCTTTTTTTTTTCCCTCAAAACATATGAGGACGAACACTCACAAACATTGAGACTCATACAGACAAAACATCCCAGCTCAGTCCCCCACTTTTGTCCTGCCCTACTTGTACCCTCCTAGTCCAACAGGCTTACACACACACACATACACACACACTAAACAGTGTCATAGTAACAGACACTTTTATGGACAAGACAGACCCCTACGGTTCAGCATTGCATCCATTTGACTTTTAAAACTTCTTTTACTTCTGTAATGGAATGAAACACCACCAGCAGCCGTTTCAAAGAAGCCCATACCTTTACAGTGAGGCAACTCAAATTATTTGAGTTTACACACATTTACCCAGCCACACACACACACACCCAAGCACACAGATGTTATCTGAGTTTAATTGCACAAAGTGTGCGGGGGGATGGCAGCCTGACCCCGGTGCAGATGCAGCGCAGATAAAACAGTGATTCATAAGCAGCGTTTTTAATCAGAACACACGGGGGGAATCGAGTGTGTGCAATGAAGAGAGGAGATAGGCACCACAGCGTGACTCACACACATACAGCGGCAGTAAATCGGTCGTGTGGAGACTGAGAGAAGAGCTCCTGCACCCTGGGATTTTATTCGTCTGCTATAAATGTTAAAGCGCGCTGGGGAGATAACGTTGGTAATTGACTCTTGTACTTTGTGTCAACTCGCTGTAGTTAAGTGTTTTTGTAGTGCCTCCGCGCATAATGTATGCTAACGACTATTTTGAAGAATTCAGAATAAATTTTCATTTGGGAGAGAAAGAAAATGTTCAGAAAAAAAGACTGCTGGAAACAGTTTGACATGAAGTGCATCTCAAATTAAGTCATTTTAGTGCTGTAAGTGAATCGTTTTAGCTGAGAGACCGTTG